TTATAGCGCTTTCACTTGCCTATATATTGAATATTATTGGTAAAAACATTATTATAATTGCTTTCAGTTGTCGGATTTAACTGATAAAGATTTGTATATAATGAATTGAGTACCCCTAGGACATCTTCAAGATTTTGCTTAATCAACCCATCCGGATAAATGACTTTCGGGCAATACAAAAAGGCAAAAGGTCGGGCAATACTTTGTAATTGTTTCCCCTTTCTCGACCCATAGGGCTCTGGAATAGCACCCTGTGTAATGTATTCATAATGCTTATCAAGATCAGATCTATTTTTTGCGACAGTTCAAGGTTTGGATCAATTTCAATTTCAGACATGCGTTCCGTTCACTGAGTAGTAAATTTTCTTATATTAAATTTTAAAATATCCCATAATAACACTTCGTTCTGAACGGACTCGTATTACACTCATGTAAATCTATTCACATAGCTGTTATTATAACCAATAAAGTTGTGATATTCTAAACTATAATACCTTACATTAACTGATATAGATGTGGTATCACGGTTGCAGACATTAAATGATGTAGATATAACATTACATTAAGACAGTGTGACATTATATGATAAAATACATCATTATGTGGTGTGTATATGACATGTTACGCAATGTAGGCATGATGTTATGTTATGTTATGTTATGTTATGTTATGTTATGTTATGTTATGTTATGTTATGTTATGTTATGTTATGTAGATATGACATTGTGTGATATAGTTATCACGTTACATGATACAGCAATAGCGTATTTGCAACACAACGTAATATAGCATCATACGATATTAAACTACTTGATGTAGGTATATATGTATGTACGTGATGTGTATATGACATTACATGATGGGTATATGATATGTTATATTTATGTGACATTACATGGTGCAGATATAAAATTACGTTGTGTAGATATGACTTGTTATTATATCCCATGACCATGACAGCCAATCAGATTCGCGCAATGTAGGTAGACATATTCGTGTGTCGACATGCAGCCATATTCGTATGTCTACATTCATCCTGAATTTATCTGATTTACGCAAGTAACTTGTCAAGTGAACACGATACATGGCATTATTTCTTAACTGATTGAGTTGCCAGGTTTGCGTTCACTATTTGACTTATTGGAGTGAAAACTACGATTTTGTAGCGATTTCCTGTGATTTTTTTAGTCGCGCTTGTCGTGCGTTGCGCAGGTCGTCTACCTAAAAATCCTGAGAGTCGTGGACTTACTTTTAACGGCACCGTTTTGTTGGATTTTTATACATATTTTGTGGGTTTTGACTGTATATCACATTCATGTACAGTGTATTTGTTGGAAGTGTGCATCCCCGTGTGATGCTCGTGTCAGTGTTCTATTACGAAATGGAACGCAGTGTAGCGTATAGCTGCGCACAGTATGGCACCGCATGTGTTTGTAAAATCAATTCCTCGTCTGGCTGAAGCTGCTGAAATTAGGTTTTTCAATGATACCATAAATATTACCGAGTAAAATAGCAGTAGAATTCAATCACTGCATGTGAACTATTTCAACTTTATATATATTACAGCTCATACATGTCTCAGCTCTACGAGGATGACCCGGGTGATTGCCATGATTGAGTTCCACAATTTTCATATTACGATTTATTCACTATAATATTACAATGTTCACCCAAACAGCTTTGAACATACAGTTTTAGGGACCCTCACAGCCCATTGTCAACCTCGGCTTGGGGTGAACATTTGTATAATGTCGATATTACGACATTATAACATGAACATAATAGGTCACACATATTCACTACGTAATCACACATCAACATCATATAATAAAGATTTTACATTAAATAATAGTAAACCCACATAATATCATGATATATCAATTTGACGTAATGACATAACTTCACATGATATGAAATACAACTATTGTACCGCCCTGACGTTTGTGGTGATATTGAAGCTCAACAACCACTGAATACCATGAAATGCGCCACACAATACAGGCCAACACAGGGATCAATTGTGTTTGAAGTAAATACATAGGTTTGAAGTAAATACATAGGTTCATGTCCTCAATACCTTTGATATGCCAATTATATTTCTACAATTCAGACACTGTGTGAGCAAATTGTTGACTACTGCCACCATAGTGTGCTTAAGCTTAAGTTTGTACCCTTTTTGACCATTCACTTCAATTTTTTCCACAATTTGTTATAACTAAAGTTCTATGATTCCAACATGGCGGTACCTCATGGGTACACAATTATGTGTAGGTTTCATTAGATAGTATAAATTTGTTCCTTTCCAAATGCAAAATTATCAACTACAATTTATTTGAGTTTAGAAATGTACTTAGTCTAAGATTATTATTTTAGCATTTAACATGTGAATCGGCGATATACTGTGTCGCCGATATACGAAAATTTTGCATGTGTAGTTATCTATCTAGTACTTGGAAACCATTGAATCTGGTCAGCTGATTTGTCAAATAAGGCTTTTCTGGTGACATGAAGGTGTATTTATAGTGAACTGAGAGGCAATATATCAATGTCAAAGTGAGTCGAAACAAGAGAGGTGTGATATCCCATTGTTCTGTTTTATTATCAAAAGTATTGACATGATAGTGGAGGAGCTAATAGGCCAACACCGGTGTCACGAATGTTTGCAATGATAAAAATAAATGACATTATAATTGAAATCAGAAATATGATCTAACTCAATAAGTTGTCACATGAAGCATATCAAATTTATACACTTTGTGTAATGTTTTGTCAGTTATTGCGTAGTATTTGAACAAATTTTCGACGGGGAAACATGACAATGCAATCATTAGGCACTAGTGGTACATGTATGTCTGGCTTTTTCATCAACGAGTTTGACTATCTAATAATATTACCCAGCTTCATACTCACTATGATCAGCTGAGGCATCTTGCCATCGAATCTTGAAGCTGCTTTTTCACATTATATTCCATTTCAATGATTATTGTTATTACCATGTTATTAACATTTTAAAATCATTTAAACACGAATCCTGAAATAGTGCAGCAATGGAGCTGTCCGGCACTAAACGTCATAGTGTCTAATCACCAAATCAAACATAATTGTCGTTGCTGTAATCACTCATGATCACTTTATTTTATTTTAGGAGAGATGAGATGCGAACAGGTGTCAGTGAGATATTTCTTGCAGTTTGAATGCAACTTAAACCCGTAGACGACGAGAGCTGCTTAGCAAAATCCATCAACTTACTAGCATGGTTATAGCAACAAGACGATCATAACAACTACAAGACCACTTCAAACACAAAAGTATACTATTATAACTTAAACTGTTCATTTTCCAGGCTTCTCTAGTGTGTTGATATAATAGTCAGATATGTATTTAGACCTTATTTAGTCTTGGTAGTGGCATCTCATATTCAGGTTCTTTTTCTCTGGTAGCAGGGCTGAGTGATGTATAAACCCTATCTTTGTCAACATCCTGTCAATATATAAGTAAATGGCATTATCAGGATACAATATAAACAATGAGGTAGTACAGTATAATGTTATTTCCAATAGCCAATCAGATTTGTGCTTTTGACGGTCGAGATATTTGCATATTTTTCAGACGTCAAAAACATCAAATTAGGCTACTGCGCATGCATAGTCGTAGTGATTGAACTACAAAATGCTGATTCACCGTTATGGTTTGTCGGCGTATTCTCGGAACACGAAATTTGTCAACAGGTCGAACAACTGCAACCAGATATATTGCATTACTTGAGTTATGTACTATGCGAATTTGTGTCACCGGTAGATAGTTATCAAATAACGTATATTGGTCGTTCGTTTCGACCATAGTCGTCACACAGTGTACGCAGCTAGCGCAGATTACCAATTTTGTCCAGCATTTCAGGATTTGTTGACATCGTGTACCGATGTGTAGTGCTCAGTTCATAAAGGTGAATTAATCATTTGGTTTTGTATCGTACATACACGTGGGTTTCATTGAACTGAACTGTTGATTAAAAGGGAAACGTGTTATATTGCGTTTTATTTAGGTCTGAATGGCCCCGGAGTAGTGTGCTATTTTTGTGTGCGCGCATGTCATGTGTAAATATCGCGATCTCTGAAATGAAACAGTCGCCCGTAGCTAGTTGGTGCCTTCACAAATGCGAAAATAGTTTAGGGAGGAATTATGCAATAAAATTATATAAATACATACAAACAATTGCAAGTGTGATGAAACAGATAATTGGGAATGGAGAAAATTAATATAGCGTTACAATATGTGTCTTATATTCACTATAATATAGATATTGACAACATTCTCGGTAAATATTCATATTTGCCACGGCTTCGCCTTGGCCAACAATGCTATATTCGGGTCGACAAATATGTATCAACAATGGCCGGATCAATATTTCTATATCTCAGCACTATAAAGTAATAAGGCGTTCAACTCGTCATGATAGTAATCTAATTTACTTTACCTTTTTCTCTGGTATTTCATAGGTGTGGTCTTTGTCCCTCGTGATTTCTGAAAGTCCAGTGTACTCGCGATCATCTACGACATCCTGTTGAAAATAATATTTTAAAATTATATCAATCAGGAATAATGCCGAGAAGAATGATTTTCAACGTTCCATATTGAAAACGAAATATTAATGTTACTCACAGATCGTCTTTTTTCTTCGTTCAATCGACGTTTATGTAATACATAACTAATCACAACAGATATTATAGTAGTAACCAGCAAAGTTGTGAGTATCCCAACAATAATACCTACACTGCATGAACCACAGATACAACCTGAAATGTCATACAATGTTTATACTGTTCAAATGCGTTTTTGTCGAGGAATGCTCGATGTCACTTATACAGAGACAGTAAATAATATTTTCAATGGTATTTCACACGAGTGTGACGTCATCGCGGATGGCGGATTTCGGAATAGCGGCCGTGCTGCTCGGGAAGATACTGCTGTACGTAGACACAGTTTCTCAGTAGGAAATATACTTTTTCGATCGTATTATTCTATGCCAGTTAGATACAAGGAGTACAAATAAAGAAGCAAACAAGATCTTTCGCAATACGATGGATTTAACCGGTACATGCATCTTTTATGTTGTATACCAAACATTTTGTGAATATTAAACACATTTCTAACTTGTGTGCCAGAGCGGAAAATTTGACCGTGTAAACACTGAGTATACTTGTGTAACAAATATCACACATATTCTAATAAGTAATGAAAAGCACATCGCCACAGTGTGACGTCACACGTGAGTGATAATGTCTCTATGCATTCTCCAATAGTCTGCAACCTATGCAGATTACAACAATAGTATATCATTTTTAAGGTAAGTCAGGCCCACGTTAAATTTTAATTAATAATTACCATGAAGTCAAATGACCCGAAAAATAAGGACGAGCTCACACTATCTCCGTTTATAGTGATGACAGGGTACATAACTATCACTCATACTTCTCTGTGTCACATATGTCGCCTCGTGTTACCAACACTCACTGCACTGAAAAGGGTTATTAATTTAGTGAATGAAAGCCATCTTTAAATAATTTTGCTGAACGTTGGGTTATGTGGGTGCAATTCGATAGATTATAATGATGCATATATAATTTAGCTGAAGTGGAAAATATTACCATTACTGGTTCTTCTTGTTAATGCAGAGAAATCTCGACTTTCACAAAAACCGTCTGC